TGCTACCAAAAACCAAGCTCCCCAAATACTTTAATGTCACAATTATTAAAAACATTTTTAAAGGTTATGCTAGGTTAGATTAGGGTAGGTGAAGCTATAGAAGTATATATTAACACAGACTGAGCAGTCTGTGGAGTTAAGTGACACCATCTTTTTTCGTTGTTCGTTGTGTCTCTGCCGTACATCAAGTAAGTATTGTAGCGTCCCTCTTTGTTGAGAGACAGATCGAACAAACGCAAGAGATCTTGTCGTCAGTATTAAAAGCGACCATTAAAAGGAGAAAGACAGCGTATTTGGGGCACATACTTGGCTGAAAAACATTCGCGACTGCACTGGGTTAAACACACAGGCGCTTTTAAGAAAAGCAGCAGGTCGAGACGAATTTGCAGTGGTTATGGCCCACCTTCGTTAGTCGGCACTAGAAGAAGAAAAATGGATGTACTGACAGAGAAGGTAAGGGAGAGTGTTCATTGGTCAATGCTCTTTGCGGAGAGCAAAAAAAATAAAGGAGAAGTTGGACAAGAGCTATTGAAGAGAGAGAGAGAGAGAGAGAGAGAGAGAGAGAGAGAGAGAGAGAGAGAACTTTAAGTAGGAGGTCAAAAACAGAGTGTAAGTAGTTAGGAGAAACAGGAATGGTTGCAGACGTCGAATTGTTTGGGGAAAAACTACGATGAATAGGAGAACTTAAATACCTTGGTTCCTACATAACGGAAAATTGGACACTACATCGAGAAATTGCCTACAGGATACAGGCGGATTGGTTTAACTGGAGGCGAATGAGAGGGGTAAAGTGTGATCGGAAAATAAGGGAAAGGCTGAATGGAATGATATACAAGAGTGTGGTAAGGCCTGCATTGGTGTACGGCGGTGAAGTGTGGCTTGTCAAAAAGTTTCAGGAAAAGAATATGGAAGTAGCTGAAATGAAAATGTCACGGTGGGTGTTGGCTAAGACTAGAAGGGAGAAGATCAGGAATGGCTTGATTAGGAAAAGAGCTGGGGTGACTACAATCTCAAAAAGGCCCAAGAATAAAGTGCAATGATTTGGTCACGTCAGACGAAGAAGTGAGAACTAAGTGGGACGAATGATAGAGCTGTTAGAAATTGAGGTAGAGGAAAACCGACGAGAAGATGGAAGGACTGTGTGGCAGAGGATTTGAGAGAGAACAGTTTAAATGTAGAAGACAAGCTGGGCAGGAATGAGTGGCGAAGAAGAGTAAGAAACAATGACCTCTGAAAAAGGAAAAGCTGAGGAAGAAGTTCAAAGTAAATTTTAAGACGTGTAGAAGCCTTTGATGGATTTATATAATACTCAATGAGGTTCTTCAAAAGAGTTGATTTGTAACATCAAAACGGAAACATCTTCATTGCTCATGTTATAAGAAACAGCAGAACAAAACTTTTGAAATCAATTAATTATCGAAGGGAAAATAGACAGTTAGTACTGGGGAGATGCAAAACATTGTTGATAGAAAAATATAACAAATTTGACGGTTTGGATTTACATTCATTATTTCAAGATGCACAAGATAGGCAAAACTTCGCGGAGAATGTTGAAAAACTTCAATAAAGGTGCTATCATAAGATGTGAATTTTACGCATCTTTCAGCTTCTGTTTTTTTTTTTACGTTTACAGATGGTTATATTTAATGCACAATATAGTCTTGTTGACTTGTAATCTTATATTTGTTATCCCAGCATTTTCTCTTTCTTTACGATAATTTCCTAATATTATTTCTAGTTGTGTAAATTTAGATATATTTATCCTTTTATGTCGATCTAATTTAACACTCCTGACTAGAAAAATTTAAAATTTCGTGATCAACTTTATCTTTTTATTGCTTTCAAAAAATACGTGTCTCATAAATAAGAATTCCATTCGAATTTTTAACAGTTCTATTTGAGAAAAAAGTAAAACATTTTTTTATTATTCAATAAATATTAAGAAATTAAAACTAGAACATCTGGTGATAGAAATACTTGCTTTCTATTTTTGTATATTTTAAATCAAATTTATATTCATCTCTAATATTCAAGGTTTCAATGGTGTAAATGTCAAAGTTGCATTATAAGGGGATTAATTAAAAGTATGTCGTGTAAACTACCAAATAATATTAAAATTCAAAGATAAAGATTATATTGAAATGAGCGAGTTTTGGGAAGTGAAAATAAATTAGAAATTATATTAAAAAACGTTTTTAGAAATTTGGGAGGAAGAACTCTGATATATCTGAAAGTATTACTGAAAAACCCCAAAGAATCGATGAAATTGTAGCATGAATTTATTTTGTTCGCAACCAAGAAATAATTATATTAAGATAAATCAAAGATCCACAATAAAGACATCGATATACAGGGTGTAATAAAAAGGTTGCTCATAGATTAAATCACTGTTTAATAGCATCCGTAGCAACAAGGGTTTACAAGGCGAATACAACATACAGAAACCATCTCAACAAAAATTAGGTAATACTGGGCAAACAATATCATCAAACTTGTGTTAAACTAATGATGCCACAAAATAATTTAATTAGACCACATAATTTGTAACGCTATAAACGTAACATATTTTTTGTTTTATTCCAATTTCCGTCGATTTTATTCATTTGTTAACGTTCTCTTTTGTTTTACTATATTTTTTAAATAGTTAGCTATCAACTAAATATTCTGTTTAATCTTTCACTTATTTCGATTCTATTCCCCGTATTCAGATCCCATATATATTCCATTCTATTCTATGCCATAGACATATATAAAATGTCTATGCCCCACATCAAGCGGCAAAATATATCTGACAGCAACTACTCTTGGTAAAATTTCTGCTAGTAAATTCATATACATCGTTAAATTTGTTCTCTGGGGTGAGTAAAAATTTCTTTTCATATTTGTAGTTCTTATAAATTTTTACATTCTTTTTGACTTTCTTTTATACATAACGTAATCTCCAAGCCATGCTTTATTTCCAACTTGTAGATATGCATATGCATGTAAAAATTTTATTTTAATCATTGTAACTAATTTATTTTAATAATAATTATATTCATTTAATTATCGTTGCCATCGCTATATTCTTTCAAAAAAATTGTTTATTATATGACAAAGAAATCTTTAAATCTTGTGCAGTTGTTAACACATTATTTCTCATTTTCTCACCCAGGTTTGTTTGACCTATATAAAATTTTCTTGTTCTCCCTTGTTGGGTGAACCTTCCTGAAGTCTGGTGGTGCACTCCACATAGGACAACAAATTCAGCAGCATAGCAGATACCCTGCAAAACTCAATAGCTACTTGAAACTACAACTGGTCCAATTCTATTAAAATATATATCTTGATTATCGTCCAATTTTAAGATACAGAAACATATTGACAAGGAACAAAGTGACGGGCTTTTGATGCTTCATAGTTATAATGACTGGAACTTGGTGAATGTTATGATTGCGAAAGCGATAAAAAAAGAAATGCTGGGGAGACAGTGGTAGAACTTGCAAACATTAGACATATGACGAAGGAGAGGACGTGGTAAAGTTCGGTTGAACATGTTTTCCACCAAGCTCTCCTCTCGCCATGTTTTCTGAAGATTTCTTAGATCCGCGATAAAAAGGCAAAAGCTGGTTCTTTATAAATATATAGGAAAATAGGATGTTTCATTAAATATTATAACCTATACATTGTAAGTTGTAGCTTCACTATTCATTTGTATTTGTTTTTCAGTAAAAAGAAGAAAATATATGTTACAAATAAAATATCTAGTATATCCATTTTTTAAGTTTGTTAATGTTATTATTAGTTTTAAAACTACATCACTAACTCAACTCAATAATTAGTAAATAAAGCCAACTAAGTTATGTACAATTCTACTGCTCTAAATCCTAGCATGCAGATAAACCTACCACCACATCTGAATTTGGAAAATTTACAGAGGTTCCGACTGAGATTTTTGTTTAAGTTTAGGCTGTGCTAATATGAATAGTTCGGAAAATGCTGTACCACAAAAATTATTCATGTACTCTAATTTAAATATCATCAAATTTATTTTCTAAAAATCATCTTATATTGGAAAAAAAGACAATAGACAAACCAATGCAGGATAGACAGCAGAAGTCTACCGCAATTTAAGACTATAAAGAGAATATGAGATTAAGGATTTTTTACGGAGAAAAGCTGTGAATAAAATAAAAAAAGGAGAGGAATAAATTAAAAGGTGGATTGCCTACGTAAAATCTGTTTTTCTATTATTGAAAGCCCTTCTATGTTCTGCTATACGTTTGTTACAGGTCTACCAGTTTGACCGATGTAAGTTTTTGAACAGTCACCGCAAGTTTATATAAATGTGTAAATGCTTTTTCTTTTGATTCTTGTTGTTCTTAATACATTTGCTTAAGTTGTTGTTTGTTCTGAAAGATGGTGTTATTCCTTAATTTTTTATAGGTTTGACTATTTTTGTTGATATCTTGTATATGTAATCGGGCAGAAGGTACTAGGTTTTTTCTCTGGTGGTGAAAAGACTCAGACACATGTCAGGGCTTCCTTACGCAGTTATTAGTTTAAAATTTTAATTATTATTTCATTGTTCCATCTATTTTTACTACTATTTGCTTAGTGATATTAAATTCTATCTCGAAGTTATTTTTTGACATGAGAATTTCTGTTAATTTATGTAACATGCTATGGTAGGCATGTTACATAAATTTATGTTGTGTAGGATGGGATGACACATAATTTATTTATAGAAATAAAATGTCCAAGAAAACCAAATTCCCACAAAATATAGAATGAAACAGGAATAACAAAATTAAGACTAACAAAGCAAATAACACTTGAAATCGAACGAATTGTAAGTAGAAAAAGTGCGCAAATATTGAATAAAAAATTGTATATCATTATAAGTCTACAAAAAATTAGTAGTAAAACTTAAAATCTTTGTGATACAGCATTTTTTACTACTCTTTACCTTAATATTGGCTTTTTTATACCGGCAGTTATAGAAAAGAAAAACATCTTACCTTTTCCGTATAAAATAGGTACGTGATCGGTGGCTAAGCGAGTTGCGGTTTTGATACCAACTAAAAGAGGGGAACCTCTTCGCGTAGCCACGCATTCTCCAGGAAAGTATTTTGATTTGAAACAAAGAGCGAAAGCGCCTTCCTGAAAGTACCAAATAAATTTGATTAAATTTAAAATTCTACACAATAGGTTATTGGTGATGCGATCTTTTGTGAGTTGTTACGGTTATGGTAGATCAGGGCAGGGCCTATTTGTGAGCTCTTTAGGCACTTAGACTTCCTAAGGCGGGTCCATTGTATCACCCCTATCATAGGTTGTTCTGGGGAACATGTTCCGCGCCCCGTATCTGCTAGAATCAGCAGGAGCTCCAAATTTGAACTCCTGCTTTAGTAACCTTGTGTCCTCACAGAGAGCCCCAAGTCTGTTGAGGCGTACTTCTAAATTTGGCTCGGTTGCATCAAGCCGAGTTAAACTAACTTAACCTTAAAAATGTTAACTAATTCATCATCATTATCATTGATGGTGCCCTTTTCAGCGCCACAGTCCGTAGAATAACAAGAATAACGATAAGCTGGTCACCTAAGATGATTGGTCTTAAAATATGAGATTGGTTCTCCAATTGGTTGAAATCGATAACAAATCAGTGGTTTGTATGTCGTGGGATGCGAGTTGGAATGCGAATAGCAATTTAAATTGACGTATATCTGATGTAGCGATTTAATAGCCACCTGGATTCAGGCACTGTTAATTTTGGCAAATATTCTAATAAATAAAAAACAACAATTATACATACCAACTGCTGCACAACGTGCTCCACGAGTTCTCTGAACGAATAATTAGGATGTTGCTTGTAAAAATGGTAAATCAATTTTGCGATTATTTCGGTATCGGTGTCACTTTCGAATCTGTGTCCTTTCTTCTCAAGGAAAACCTTGACTTCTTTGTAGTTTGTGATGATACCATTGTGGACGACTACAAATCCATTTTCGTCGTCTGATCTTTGCGGATGGCTGTTTACTTCGTTGGGGACACCGTGAGTGGCCCAACGCGTATGAGCAATACCGCAATGGATGTCCATCGACTTTTCCATGTCTAAGATATTACTTTCTGTAAGAAACAATATATAATAAGTACAAATTTTTATAAAGGTAAACACTAAGATATATCAAATAAGCAATTAAGTATTATATAGTTATATAGCTAATTGATTACAGAACATTTACATAATTCAAAGAAATGCATTAAGGTTGTTAATGTTGTTTTTAATGGTTTCTAAATACTTTCTGCTTTCATTTTTAATTATTTTCATCCACTTTACATAACTATTAACATCCATGCAGAATTCTTATTTTAAGTTCGATGAACATTTATTAAAAGTACCTACGTACTCCCGCCAATAATGTTGTATCAAACCCCACATAAGCTCAAGATTCCCTATATCTTAGGCAAGCCGATTCAAATGTAATTGACAGTAGAGAAATTTACACACCGAGAAGTGAAATCTACCACCATGGAAGAAATCGACCCAAAAAATCTCCTGGCTACGATCTTATAGCAAAGGAAGCCTTGTAAAACTTACCCGATAAGGGTAAGAGGTGTATTCAGCAGATATTCAATGTCATTCTAAGATTCGGTTATTTTCCGCAACGATGCAAAGAAGCAGAAGTCATCATAGTGCCTAAGCCACGAAAGAAACCTGAAGAAATTACAACATATAGGCCAATCAGGCTATTGCCAACTCTATCCAAAATATTGGATTGGAGAAATTTTTACTAAAATGACTTCAATCCACCCTAGAAAACAAAAACATCATATCTGATTGCCAGTTTGGTTTTCGTCGCGAACATAGTGTAACGATAATATTTTGCGTACCACAGTTGGCACTAATACGGGAGATAGAAAATTGGGGGAAAAAACTATTGGGGGTGGAGATAGGGCAAGCAAAATAATCGCTACTGATGCGAACGGCACTCAGGGTTTCGAAGGAGAGCTGGGGTCGTGGATAAGTAAAAGATAAGGGGGTTAGAATGGGGGAACTACAAAAAAATGAAACAAAGGGCTCTTGGGATAAACAAAATAAAAATAAACAAGAAACACCTCAAGGAATTTAATATAGGGCGCCACTTGAGGTGCCTAATTATGCCTATTACAACCACTACTTGTAACTAGGGAAATAATTAGAAAACAAAATCAAAACATAAAAAAACATATCTTTTTCAAATAAGAATCAAAAAAGGTTTGGCTCAAAAAAATAAATAAAAAGTTAAGACAACAAAATTTAACCTTTATTTATGTGTCACCACAAACAGTTACAAAATGGAGAAATACAAAATACAAAACTTACGTGTCATCCGCTTACAAACTCCAGGAGTTGGAGATACTACATAATATTAAAAAATGTATATGGAGGTTAACCTTGTTTAAAAATAAAACAAACTAATAGTCAAAAAAATAATAAAAAACGAGCTGTCACAAGTTAACATTAAATTTAAAAAAAAAACTAAACACACAAATTGACAGCTCAACTCAAAACCTAAAATTTACAATTTTAAATGTCAACGGAACACAATACAAGAACACTCCCAATTATAGATAAATACATTTAGATCCAACCATTAACATCAAAATTTCTAAAATTCAACCTTCCACATGTGTCTAGTTTATATTTTCTGGGTACCAAATGTTTAAGAAACATAAAGGGCCATAATAAAAATTTTTCTATATTACATTGCTACATACATGTATAGTTGGTTGCCTAACTATAACCATACAATTTTTGCTCCCTTATATCATCTTATTTACATAAATTTAAAACTACAACATTGATGGTTGATACTGTTATATTAGTTTACTTATTTTCACAATTTTAAATAACGTTGGCTTTTGTCTTAAGTAGAAACATACAGCTACATTGACTGCTCTGTGATAATTTCCCTCATAACTTAACAATATTGTCATCAAATGTCATTGCCAATCAGTTGCACTCATACAGTCCTCGAAGACATACCGTCTCAGGACTAGCAACTTCAACGTGGAGTCATATGTCGCCATGTTACCTAATCCATCGGTAACTCTATAATCTTAAATTATTATAACATATTTTTAAAACTAAATGTAATTAAACATCTGTTAACGGGTTTTTACCCACATATTTAATCTTGGTGGCTACATTCATGTACTCCTAGTAAGTATTAACCACATTGTTCATTAACCTTAGTCAAAATTTTAATCTATGTTCTTTTTAATTAAGTGGTTAACTATTTTCTAGGACACTGATGATGAAACATGGTTTCCGAAAACGTTTTGTCTTTTTAACTTAGCCCGTTTGGGCCTTAAATATATACCTATTACAAAGGATTTTTCATTAAATTTTTAAAGCAAATTGTCTGTCTTTACTTTAAAATTTGATCAAAAAGTTACCTGGATTTTCACTAACAAAATACACTAGAATTTGTGGAACCAGACGCCACTGGAATATCCGACACCATAACTGAAACTGAGGGCTTTACTCTCTGTGTAATGAACACAACTATCTATCTCCATATCTTCATATCTCGAACAAATCTATCTCCATACTGCCAAAAGCCTTGGATGATAACCAGGGAGAAACAAAACGAGGATGGAATCGACGATTCTTCCATTCCTCACTCAAACATTTACTGAACCATTAACTTCACACTGCTACACATTTTCTTCATAAAAAAAGACGAACAAACGTCTTCATAAAAAAACACAAACAACGAGGAACATTTCGAATTTGAAGTCAAATTCGGACATAACGTTGACCTCTTTTCACCGCGGCTCCAACGATAGTGACGAAATTATCTATTAAAATTGATCGCATAACTTGAAAATAAACAAACAACGGAAATAAAAACGTAGATATCTTTTTGCGACGCATAAACTTGAAAAGAAATTGCCGAAGTAAAATAAACAACTCTCAAATGGTTTTATTACTCGGCGACGAAACACTTTTGGGTACTTTGAAAGATACGAACTAACAACACGGAAAACTTCTTCGTTTCATTTTTTTTTAAATATATAAGGAGTTTTTAATATATTTTTTTATACGAGGAGGTTTCAATATACTCAAAAGAATCAATGAAATTGAAAATGCTCCAATAGCACTATCCAACAGGTACATAGAATTGTAAAACACATCGACAAGGATCTAGAAAATAGACGACACTGTTCCGCAGGATTTCTGGCAGTCTGGAACACTGGGTTACTCTATAAAATCAACAACCATCTACCGTATAGAGTCTATAGTGTGCTTGAATCTTATCTAAATAACAGACACTTCCTACTTCTTAGTCAGACACCAAGAGGAATGCACTGACATATCCAGTTTCAAATGTACCCAAAGGCAGTGTTTTATATACACCATGGATTTCCCAGCAACACACTCAAAGGCAGTACTGGATTGAACTCTGGAGGCCTGCTAGTAACAGCTTCCCCGTGATACGCGATCAATCATCTAATGGAGAGAGACTTGCAAATATCATCCGTCAAAACAGAAATAACATGTTATAATGATAAACACAAAAAAAGCCAGTGATCATGTTAATGATCAATGATACAATAAATCACAGGTGAAGTGCGTCGCTTAAAAAGATTCAAACCAACCGACTTGAGTAGTGGATTTAGTTAGATAATAATAATATGATCAATAGTAGTATAGTAAACTAATACTCAACGTATTTTCTCTCTGGAGAAAATTCCTACAAGTAATAATATTCGTCAAAAAATTTTACTTATTGTTCCTATGCTAAGAACATAAATATTGTAAATAAAGTGGAGACAAAAAAAGTTTTTATGTTACCTTATAAAATGTTCATAACACTTTCTTTACCGCATAGTGGGTCATAAATGGCACAATACTTAGTTTTATACCTAATCGCTAGAGATCGAATCTTATTTTAAAGTATTTATGTATGACATGTTCATATAGAGCACATATTTCGTATAACCGGTAATAAAGCGCCATCTCAATGCAGCAAAGTGAAATTTTATGAAAATTTGCAAATTGTCGCGGTCTGACAGGTGTTCAAAAACATTTGTGCAATTTGATATTTAATTGTCTACTATTCAAGATTCTACTAAATATTTTTGTACAAAAAAATTACGACATCAAGGATAAACCTTCAAGAAAGAATTTCTGTATTTTAACGTATTTCTTTATATTTTGGTATTTTTTTATCAAAAATATACTTGTGCCATATATGCCACAATATGCACTCTCGTACAAAGCTCTCTTTCATATATGGCCCAATATGCGTTCTGAACTAGGTATTATTATTTTATATAATGGATACAAAAAAGTTTTATGGGGAAATTCTTGTGGCAGAGGACATACCAGATGGTAGTGAAGACGAAGTGCTATCAGATGATGACATTTCCCCTATTATATTAGCCCCAGAGCCAGACTATGAAGATGATATAATAGATAATAATTAATCAGATATTATTATCCCAGAAACGGATTTAGAAAGCAGTTCGGATAGCGAAGATGATATCTTTTTGAACGAATTACGACGTAATCTAATAAAGAATAGAAATAAAAATCATCCAACTTAAAAAAAAAGAAAATTTGGTAACATCAGATGATGATTTAAGATTTCTCGGTTTTACTGATCTGCCACATGAGTTGCAACAAGCGGATTCCCGTTACGCATTTTTAAATTTTTTTTTTTAACAAATGAGATGATCAAAGATATAGTTGTTCAAACTGTATTATATTCACTGGAAGAAAGACCTCAAAACCTTTAAAACTTTCTGAAAATAAGTTAGAACAGTTCTTAGGAACCTGTATTTATATGCCAATAGTGCAATTGCCAAATAAAATAAAACATATATGTGAAATAAATTAGTGAATATTGTAATAAAGACTTTAATAAACTTGTAAGTGTTATAAATGTAGAACCTTTGATAATAAATAAAGACAATAAATTAGATAATAAGAATACTACACAAGTTTGTAATCATAGATTTTTTTTTGTAAAAATAAATCATGCAGTAAGGGGTTAATAAAACATAAGTGATGCATTTCTGCAGAGTGAGAACACTCCATCTATAATTCCAAGTTATACTTAGATAATAAGGTAATA